TGATGGCAGGACTCAGAACCAGGACTGGGAGCCCAAAGGGTGTCCCGGACACCGGGGCTGAAAGACCCGGCTGGGATCTGTGGAGCTGCGAGCTCAGGGCTGTCGAGAGCCTCTTGGGCTGCAGCAGCAGCAGCTCGGGGTGTCCTGCCCGGACCGGGCCTTGCCTCGGTTCCTGTCCCCGTGGGTGCTGCTGTGACGAGCAGAGCAGTCGGGCTCTGCAGCTCGGGAGAGCGAGCCGCCCGAGAGCTGTGCGGGGGCTGGCAGCGCTGCCCGCCGCTCCTGCCCCCGCTCCCGCCGCTCTGCTGCCCGTGGCTGGGTAGCTCCTGTCCCACGGGCCGTGGTGTTACCCCCGTTCCTGTCGGAGGGACACAGGCACTGTCACCGTGGCTGGAACTGGGGGGTGGGCTGCCCTGGGCCCTGTGCACCGGCAGGGACTGGCCCTGCCTGGCGGGCACGTCGGGGAGCAGACCCCGCTTCCACCCTGACGGTGATCGCTGTCACTGTCGCTCCCCCAGTCTTCTGCTTCCTGGGGATCTGTTGGAGCTGCTGGAGCAGCGGTGGCAGAGGACAGCAGGGGTGTGGGCTGGGTGTCCCGTGCCCTGGGGTGGATGGCGACAGTGTCACTCACAGCTGCTGCAGTGGGAGCTCTGCTGGGATGGACCTTGGAGAGCTGTGATGAGGAACAGCAGGCCCACAACCTCAGTGGCTGTGAGGTTGCCCAGAGCCATCTCCCTCCTGTTGCAAATCTCTGCATCACTCTTTTCCACCTCCAAGGCTGGCTTTGAAATCACTCTAGAGGAGCAGAGCCAAATTCTTCTAGCAGCCTTTCCAAACTGGCTCTTGTGCTGCCAGAGCGACTGGCTGCTGTGTCAAACAGTTTTCCATCAGGCTGTTGATGATTGTGTGCAAGAGGGAGCAGCGAGGTGCCTGGTGCTGGTGCAGGGACTCTGTGAAGTGTTGTTCATGGCATCTGTCATGACCTTGTGATGGCACCGGGATGATGTGACCTGTGCAGCGCTGTGAGTGGCTGAGCTTCATCCTACTCGTGTCACTGCAAGGGACATCGAGTCCCAGGGTCCTTCTGAGGCCCTTTCCAGTGACTGCCCCATGCATTGCCCCAGGGCTCATTGCTTGTTGTGGGGCACAGTGTTCCCAGGTGTGTCCCAGAGATGAGAAGGTGGACAGAAAGCAGTTGTAGCATTGCTTCCAGGGCAGCCCCATTTTGAGTGGGGTGGTTGGAGTGTGCAGAGCTGTCCCAGAGGCTGCAGGTGACACTGTGCAGCTGGGCCTGACTCTTGTGCTCTGCCCTTGCAGGGAGATAAAGAAAGGTGAACTTTAGCTCTTGAGCTACTTTTAGCAGCTCTGCTCTGAGCTCTGGACAGCATGTTTACCCCTGAGCTTGCATCATGCTGTGTTGGTCCTGGCCATGTTGGCTGCTCTCTGGCTCCATTCCAGAGACAGAGAGGCAAACCACAGCGATGGGCAAGCCCAGCAGGATCAGAAAGGTTCAAACTTTAGATCTTTAACCCAGGCAAGGATAGCTTCCATTGGTGGGGCTGGCCTGGCAGGGTCAGAACTTCCCTGCTAGTGGTGGCTGCTGCCGTAAGGAGTGTCTTATGGACCCTTTTCCTCCAGGAATGTTGGTGTGCCTTGTGCCCTCCTCGTTGCCAGGAGGAGCTGGAGTTGAGTGCTGCAAGCTGGCTTATCCTGCTGCTGTTTGTGGCAGTGGAAAGTGGCTGAATCCTGTCCGAGTGCTGCTGCCGTGTGGCAGCCTGGGAGCTTTGCTCTTGGCCCTTTGGTGCTCTCAGACTGCGGCTCCGGCACTGCTCTGAAATGCCGAGATTGTGGCTTTCAGGAGGAACATCTGCTTGGATCACGGGTCCGGATGTGGCATCTGGTTCCGTTTCTGCAGCCCGGTGGGAAGGTTCGCCTGTGAGCCACTCGACACCGGGCGCTGCAGGGGCTGCCCGGGTGCCTGCCCGCTGTGCCATGCTGCCGCAGCACTGTCCTCCCCAGAGCTGGAAACAGGGCTGTGGCAGGAGCTGGGCTGGGGCAGCAGCTGCTGCTGTTTCCGGAGGGGCTGGTGCAGCCCCCCCGCCCCCGGTTCATGGCGCAATAGGAAGCGGCGGCGGCTGAGCTCACGGTCCAGGCGGGGCAGTCCCTGCCGGGCTGTCGCTCTTGCATGGCCTGTGCACTTGCTGGGTTTTTTCTCCCAGCAGTGGCACCACTCATGCTGCAGGAGTGGGCTCCAGGACCGAATGGATGGAGCCCTGCAGCTGCTGGGGCAGAGGAAGCATTCCCTGAGCTGCTGCAGCTGAGAACTGGCCACAAAGGGCTGAACCTGCTGTGGGATGGAGGCTCTGCTGTGCTGCCCCACACACAGCCCTGCCCCACAGCTCACAACCCAGCCCTTGGTCTGCAGCATCACAGAGGCTCTGTCACATCAGCCAGGGCTGACTCCAGGGCTGTAGGAGTCTGTTTTCTGCAGGACCTTGCACGGCCAGTGGCTCTCTCCTTTCATGTTCACTTGTTGCTGTATTGAAAGCAGGTTTGGTTCGTGTGGGTTTCTCTGAGGATTGCACCAGAGGGTTGTAGGTCAAGGTTAATGTCCTGTGGAGGCTGCTCCTGCCTTTGGGGCCATTCAGTGCTGTGAAGTACTAAAAACCTCTCTAACTCCCATGTCTGTGCCAATCTCTGTCTGCTCCTGGTGCCTTAGCCCACAGGGGATGTTTTTCCTTTCTTCCTTCACACCCAGACAAATGGGGAGAGAGTCCCTCAGGAGGGCAGGCCATGCAGTGATGCTGCATCACTCAGTGCAGGGACGTTTTGGAAAAGCAAACCACTTAATGCAGGGAAGTGACTGCTGGTGTCACGTGGAGCTCTGCCTTCATTTGCCAGCACAGCTGGAGTCCCCTCGTTAGTGTCAGTTTGATTTCCATTGATACAAGTCGTGAACGTGAAAATTGCTCCTTCCTTGTTTCTGTAGTTTCCTGGCAGTCTCCGCCTTCTGCACTTACTGTAAGCTCCACAGCCTCTTCCCTGCCTCCCGGCAGGGCCGACCAGGGGTGCCTTCGAGACCAAATAAAAGCCTCATTCCTACCTGTTGTCAGTGACCAGCCTGCCCATGCCAGCTGTCCTGGAGCACTGTGCCCTGGGCTCGTGCCCTGGCTGACTCTGGTTCTGACCAGAGAGAACCCTTTTCAGGGCATTGCAGTAGTCACAGCTGGGTCCTGGCAGGAGGGAGCCAGGAGCCCACTGGGAGCCAGCTCTGAGCCACCTGTGTGCCCATCCCTCAGGTCTCCGGAGCTGGCCAGGATGGCGCAGTGGAACCAGCTACAGCAGCTCGACACGCGGTACCTGGAGCAGCTCCACCAGCTCTACAGTGACAGCTTCCCCATGGAGCTCCGGCAGTTCCTGGCCCCGTGGATTGAAAGCCAGGACTGGTAAGCCCCTTTGAAATGCCAGTGAAGGGACTTTGCTTGTAACACCCACCTGTAGGGGCTCAAGTGGGCTGGAGGAGTTCTGTCACTTTCCCTGGGCCCCTGGTATGGTGGGACAGGCCTCTCTCCCTGAGGCCTATGTGGCATCGAGGGAAGCAGGACTATGCATGGAGTGGTACTTTGTGCACTGTGTTAGAGCCTGGACCAGGAGAAGAGGTAGCTCTGAAGCAGGGGGATGTTCCCATGCAGGGCTGGCTGACACGGAGCACTGATCCCTGAATCCTGTCCATGAGCATGTGGGACGTGCTCACAGACATCAGGTGCTGGTGTGCACTGTGCCTGGTGCTCTGGTCTACTTGACCAGATGCTGATTAGTCACAAGCTGGACTCAGTCTTAGAGGTCTTTTCCTACCTAAATGATTCAGTGATTCTGTAAGATGCACAGGGGATGGTGGCTGTGAGCAGAGCCCCCCTGCTTTGACCTCGCCCCACACCAGGCACTCAGGGCTCTCCCTCCCTTGTGCAGGGCATATGCTGCCAGCAAGGAGTCGCACGCCACGCTGGTGTTCCACAACCTGCTGGGGGAGATTGACCAGCAGTACAGCCGCTTTCTGCAGGAGTCCAATGTCCTGTACCAGCACAACCTGCGCCGCATCAAGCAGTTCCTGCAGGTGAGGTGGGAAGTGCCAGCTTGGCAGGGGTAGGCACAGTGGGAGACCTGGTGAGAGTCCAAGCAATTCCTTGGCACACCTCACTATTCACAGCCCTCAAGGATGTGGAGATCCTAGGGGTTGCCTTGTGCCTGCTGACCATGGGGTGTTTGACCCTTTACAGAGCAGATACTTGGAGAAGCCAATGGAAATAGCCCGCATCGTGGCTCGCTGCCTCTGGGAAGAGTCCCGGCTCCTCCAGACAGCTGCCACTGCTGCCCAGGTCAGTGGCCAGGTATCCCAGGGCCTCCATCCAGGACACAGTCTGGGTGTTCTGGCTGGGTGTGGTGAGCTGGGTGCCCCCATCTTTCCTCTCCCTGACCCTGTGCTGCCCTGGAGCTGATGCTGAAGTGAGCAGCAAGCTGCCAGTGTGTGTTAGGGACGGGCTGAAGATCCTACAGAACCTCCTCAGGCTGGGAGGGAGCATCCCCAGGTTACAGCCATGTCCTTATGCCCTTCTTGTCCCCTCTACAGCAAGGGGGACAGGCAACACATCCAACAGCAGCTGTGGTGACAGAGAAGCAGCAGATGCTGGAGCAGCACCTGCAGGATGTCAGGAAGAGGGTGCAGGTATGTGTCTGGGCGCCTTCTGCTGTCCCCACCATGGTTCTTGAGTGCTTTGAATGAAATCACATCTCATGCCTTGCAGGATCTGGAGCAGAAAATGAAAGTGGTAGAAAACCTCCAGGATGACTTTGATTTTAACTACAAGACTTTGAAAAGCCAAGGAGGTAATGACAGCTCATTAGCATCTGCAAACCACAGTGTGTTCCTGCAAGGAAACTTGCTGGAGAGGTGTTCCAACCTCCACTCCCATCGGGAATGTGCTCAGGCTCAGGGCATTTGCATGGCAATTGGAGAAACTTGGTCTTCTGTTTCTGCCACTGATGGTGCCCTTGAGGGAGCTGAACTGAGCTTTGCTGTGGGATGGGGAGGGATTGGCTTCTGTGGGTGCAGGAGAGCCATGGAGGTGCTTGGAGGCTGTGCCAGATTCCTGCTTGGCTATAGGTTGCCTGCATTTTGCTGTGGAAGTGTTGTGTTGTTGTGGCACTTGAGAAGGTGGGAAGAGTCCATGTGTGTGGCTGAAGCTTCTCACCTCTGCACAGACATGCAGGACCTGAACGGGAACAACCAGTCAGTGACCCGGCAGAAGATGCAGCAGCTGGAGCAGATGCTGACGGCGCTGGACCAGATGCGCAGGGTAGGTGGGGAAAATGGCCCTCCAGATTGCCCTGGGTGCAGATCCCCCTTCTTCAGGGTTGGAGTTTGGTAGTTCCTGCATGGCCAGAACCAGGGGCAGTGCAGCAAGCACAGCCCTGAGCGACTTCTTCCTTGCCTGTGAATGTGAAACCTGTGGGTCCGTGGGGGAAGTCACAGGGTGCTGAAGGTTCTGCTTTCTCTCTTGGCAGGGCATAGTGAGTGAGCTGGCTGGGCTGTTGTCAGCCATGGAATATGTGCAGAAGATGCTGGCAGATGAGGAACTGGCAGACTGGAAGAGGCGGCAGCAGATTGCCTGCATTGGTGGCCCACCCAATATCTGCCTGGACCGGCTCGAGAACTGGTGAGAGCTGGCTGGGACTGTGTCAGTCCCCAGAGCAGTGGCACTCACACACCTGCTGTGGGAATGAGCTCTTGGTCTCTGGAAATGTCCTTGCAAAATGGTTTCTGATGCTTGCACATATGAATGAAGTCTGCAGTTTAGACTGAGCCACGATGGTGGGCACGGTGCTGGAAAGGTGTCCCACTGTCCCCAGCTCCATGCCTGGGGGACTCTGAGGCTGCTGGAAAGTTTCTGGTCCTGGAGTCACCTGGGCATGTACACGTTTTGTTTGAAGTGCATGGCCTAGAAAAATGCTCTGGGCTTGGAGCCACAGACACACTCAGTTCTTGACTGGTTTGGCATGGAGAGTGTGTTCTTGCATGGGAAGAGGAGGGCTCTGCAGGCTGGATGATGTGGGCTTGGCAGCCAGAGCTAATGCTGGTTCTCCCTGCATTATCTCCCTAGGATAACCTCTCTCGCTGAATCACAGCTACAGACCCGGCAGCAGATCAAGAAGTTGGAAGAACTGCAGCAAAAAGTATCCTATAAGGGTGATCCAATCGTCCAGCACCGGCCCATGCTGGAGGAGCGGATTGTGGAGCTGTTCAGGAACCTGATGAAAAGGTGCTGAGGGCAGGCAGGAGCTGCAGGTAGTCCCAGTCATGGCCATGGGTGGAAGGTGGGCAGTGAGGATCTGACTGTGCTCTCTGTGCTGTTCCTGCAGTGCTTTTGTCGTGGAGAGGCAGCCCTGCATGCCCATGCACCCTGACCGACCCCTCGTCATCAAGACAGGAGTGCAGTTCACCACCAAAGTCAGGTGGGTTACCTCCTGCAGGTGAGGGAGTGGAGCTGAGCAGGGAGGGCAGTGTGGGATTGCTCTCCAGAGATGATGCTGCAGATCCATGCTCCCCTGCTTTCCTGGGGAGCACTAGTGCTGGGAAGGGATGGATCCCAGCAGGATAGATCCCAGAGGGATGATCCCAGTGGGCTGGAGTGCTGCCCACATGACTCAGCACGGGGCTGGCTGGGGATCCGCCGGGTTCTGGTAAATCCTGTTGTGGGAGTAGGAAGCATCAGCACATCCCTGGTCCCCCTGCTGCTCAGCTGGGCCGTGTTCCCTGCCAGGCCTTCGTGGAAGGAGGCTGCTCTGACACCAAGCTCTGCCTGGAGCTTCCTTGCCCTTTCCCAACTGTGCCTCCATGGCAGCCTCTGGCTCAGAGTAGTGGGGAGAGTGTTTGTTCAGAGCCTGGTGTGGGCAGTCAGCAGCCCAAACGAGCTCCTTGGGATGCTCAGGGGAGCATCAGCACCTCTCTGGTTCTGGGGACAGGTGCCAGGGCTAACATGTCCCAGGCCTGTGTGAAGGTGTGCCCAGGGCTGCTGGAAGAGCTGCTCCATACTGCTGGCTGTGCCAGGTGCCCTGTGGAACAGGAGCAGTTTCTGTGCACAGGTTGTTCATGCTCTGTGTCTGCTGACTCTTGCAGGTTGTTGGTCAAGTTTCCAGAGTTGAACTATCAGCTGAAAATCAAAGTCTGCATTGACAAGTGAGTCCTGTGCTTTCCTTCCAGTGGCACTGGGATGGGACTGATTCCTGCTGTCCTTGGATTGGGCTCAATCTCCACAACAAGGGCCAGTGTGGCCCCCAGTTGAAGGGGAGGGTGCAGGGTGGTGCTGAGTCCTGAGGGTTCACCTCCACATGGGGGGAAGGCCTGTGGGACTCATGGGACTTGTGCTGGGATGTAGCACAAGCTTGTGTGCATCAGGGTAGGAGGGCCACTGCCATGACCTGGTGTCTCTTGCCCCTTTTCTAGGGACTCTGGGGATGTTGCAGCACTTCGGGGGTAAGTGCACTGTTTGCTGTGGTCCTTTTTCCTTGTTTCTGCTTTTATTCCTGGCAAACATCCTAGCACACATTCACTCCAAGACAGCCCTCTCAGCCACACTCTTTCCTCTTCCCAGGTCCCGGAAGTTTAATATCCTGGGGACCAACACCAAGGTCATGAACATGGAGGAGTCGAACAATGGCAGCCTCTCAGCAGAGTTCAAACACCTGGTGGGTACCGTGAGCTCCTGGGCTGCTCCTGTTCCACCACGTGTCATTGTGGTGCTGCTGCAGCCTGTTCCTCTCTCTGCAGACCCTGCGGGAGCAGCGGTGTGGGAATGGAGGCCGAGCCAACTGTGATGTGAGTGTTGGGGGCCCTGGTAGGGGGTCTGGCCTGACCCCAGGGGCAGCTGAGCTGGGAGGGGATGCAGGAGTCCTGCCTTGAGGCAGGGGGTCCACCGGCACCGATTGGCACACTGGCAGCTTGCCAGGCCAGCCCTGAGCAGCCGTGCTAGGTCTGGTGGTCGTGTGTTGGGCTCAGGGTGGGTGTCTTGGGGTGCTCATGGTGTCCCCTTCTGCCCCAGGCCTCGCTGATAGTCACCGAGGAGCTGCACCTCATCACTTTTGAGACAGAGGTGTATCACCAGGGGCTGAAGATTGACCTGGAGGTGAGGCATGGGTCACTGCCTTTCACTGGCACGGGCCTGGGTGGAGCCTTGGAGTTGTCCCAGCCCATGGTCACATCCTCTCTTTGCAGACCCACTCATTGCCTGTGGTGGTCATCTCCAACATCTGCCAGATGCCCAATGCCTGGGCATCCATCCTGTGGTACAACATGCTGACCAACAACCCCAAGGTAGGGCTGGTGTGGGAGGACAGCAGGGCAGGTGTCAGGATGGGGGTGTCAGGGTGAGAGAGGGAAACTGAGGCTGGGGAGCGAGGCTGAGGCAGTACCTGGCGCTGCTCCTGTCACATGTCCCGCTCAGGGCTGTGTGTTCCCTCGTGCAGAACGTGAACTTCTTCACTAAGCCGCCCATTGGGACCTGGGACCAGGTGGCAGAGGTGCTGAGCTGGCAGTTCTCCTCCACCACAAAGCGCGGGCTCAGCATTGAGCAGCTGACCACGCTGGCAGAAAAACTGCTGGGTAAGTGCAGGGTGACGTGGCATGGGGTCCTACCCATCCCTGTTGTCCCCTGGGGTGATTCCCCACCTTTACATGTCATCCAAGAGTGAGGTCCTGTGTTTGGCCTGAGGGCTTTTGGCCTGAGTAATTTTCAGTTGCTTGGTTTTCTCCCAAATGGCACAAACCCTGGAAATGGTGTCTTTGGGAGGACAGCTCTATTTAAATGGTTGTGTTCTTTTTTTCTTTGCCAGGACCAGGTGTGAATTACTCTGGCTGTCAGATCACCTGGGCCAAGTTCTGCAAGGTAGAATTTCCTCTCTTTTCAAGCACCTTCCCTTGGCTGTTCCCTTCTTCCAAGCTGTGCTAGCAGCCTCTCTTTCTTTTCCTCAGGAGAACATGGCTGGCAAAGGCTTCTCTTTCTGGGTCTGGCTGGACAACATCATTGACTTGGTGAAGAAGTACATCCTGGCACTGTGGAATGAAGGGTGAGTGCCAGCCCAGAGCCTGTGGCTAGGCTGGGCCTTGGAGGGGGTTCCACAGGTTCCATCCTGATGGCGTGGGGTGCCTTGTCCATGTACGCTGTCCTGGGATACTTTTTGCTGGTTCAGAATGCAAACTCGCCTGGGAATCCATAAAATGTCAGTGGCCAGGCTGAGTTCTGCTGTTGAGCAGAGCTGGCAGGGTTTACATCCTGGAGGAGCTGCTCCTGTGCCCTGACCCACATCTGTTGTTCTTGTTTCCTCCTGCCCAGGTACATCATGGGGTTCATCAGCAAGGAGAGGGAGCGAGCCATCCTGAGCACCAAGCCCCCAGGGACCTTTCTGCTGCGCTTCAGTGAGAGCAGCAAGGAAGGTGGCATCACCTTCACGTGGGTGGAGAAGGACATCAGTGGTACGAGCTCTACTCTCAGTACCCTGGGTGCCTGGCTTGGCATTCCAGAGGGGGCTTGGATGCCCTAATAAACACTTGTCCTTTGTCCTTGTCCCAACAAGCTTGGGTTTGCTTCTGAGCCTGGCCACCCTTTGCTGGTCTTTGGTGGGTGTCTGTGCCCACGTGCTGCCCATGGGCACAGTTTTCTATGGCACTGAACATATTCAGGTCCCAGCCCTACCCCATGGTCTGCTGTGGTAGGGCTAAACACAGCCCCAGGCCCATCTTGTCCCTACTGCTCCAGGAGTGTCTGAATGCAGCCCTGCCTTTGTTCTGTGCCAAAATTCTCCTTCCTTGCACAGGGAAGACACAGATCCAGTCGGTGGAGCCTTACACCAAGCAGCAGCTGAACAACATGTCGTTTGCGGAGATCATCATGGGCTACAAAATCATGGATGCCACCAACATCCTGGTGTCCCCGCTGGTGTACCTGTACCCAGACATCCCCAAGGAGGAGGCGTTTGGAAAGTACTGCCGCTCCGAGAGCCAGGAGCACTCGGAGGCAACGGACTCAGGTAGTCGTTGGCTTTCTGTGGCTCCTTGGTCACAGGGAGGCTCTGGGGACAGCACTAGCTGTCACCAGCCAGGACTCTGTGCCATCCCTGGAGGGCACAGCCAGTGTGGGACCAGCCATGGGGTCCAGTTGGGTATGGGCAGAGGGTGGGCACTGCCTGTGTTCCTGGGGGCGGAGAGAAGGGCTCGTCCTTGAGTGGCTGATGACGGAGCTTCTCCCTCCTTGCAGGTGCTGCTCCGTACCTGAAGACCAAGTTCATCTGTGTCACCCCGTGAGTGTTCCTGGGGGCTGTCTGTCAGTGCTGGGGGGGTGTTTGTGTGCTCAGCCTTGCTTGGGGGAGAGGTTTCCTTCCTTTCTTTGTACCTCCATCTGAGCTTTGCTTGGTTACTGTGGGGTTCCCAGCCTGGGGTGACAGTGGGGGCTGAGCCAGGCTCCGGCTGCTGCCCAAACCACAGCCCTGTTCTTCCCCTCTGGGGCCCCTTTCCTCTGGAGAGCTCTGGGGGCCGCTGGGCCATGCTCGGGGGCCCCTCAGCGGGTGGAGGGGGTGTTGAGAGCTCTGGCCAGGCCCTGACTCCGGAGGTTTCTGTGCTTCTCCCTCGGACAGCACTTCCTTCAGCAACACCATCGACCTGCCCATGTCCCCGCGCACCCTGGACTCACTCATGCAGTTCGGCAACAGCAGCGAGGGAGCAGAGAACAACGCGGGTGGGCAGTTCGGTGAGTCAGGGGGGGCTGCAGGGGGCCCTGGCTGCGGCCACACGCGGGCTCCGTAACCCTGGCTGTGTCTGCCCGCAGAGTCGCTGACCTTCGACATGGAGCTGACCCCAGAGTGTGCGTCCTCGCCCATGTGAGGGGCTGCGCCGGCGCACGGGGCCCTCCCTGGGCTCAGCCTTCCCACCTCCAGAGCGCTCCCCCGGATTTGTCTCACTCGGCTGCAGCTGCTCCGGGCCTGCCCTCGGGAACAGCCGCGGGCCTGGCTCCCTGAATGGGTCAGGTCCTCACCTGACCCCACAGAGCAGCCCCTCTCCCGGGTGGTGCCGCTCATCTTTGGGGGAGGGGGATGAACCTTTTTCTATTTCCTTCCATAACAGTTTTCTATTATTTTTGCTCATTCAAGTGCCTATTTGCCTCCGATTGCAGCCACAGTTCCTACAAACGCTTCCACAGCCCCGGTCCTGCTGCTGGAAGCTGCTGCCCTGACTGCCCACACCCAAACCCACAGGACCCTACAAGTCTGGAATTGCAGAGGGGATTGGCCATGTGGTGGGGTCTGCCCTACTGCTCCCAGCACGTCCTAGAGCTTGCAGGGTGCTGGGTTGAGTGCTCACTCTGCACCCACCTGGCCCTGGTTTTGGCCAGGATGACCAGTACAGGGCTTGCCGTTGCAGGTGGATGTATCCAGGTGCTCCTGCCCTGGACTCAGCAGGCACTGCCCCTGCTGGCCTCAGCATGGCTTTGCTGGGAGACCAGAGGTTTGGGAATGGCTTGTGCTTGTCCCCAGCTTCCTGCTTCAGGCACAGTGGTCTGGCCAATGCCAGCAGCCTGGGCTCCTTTTGGGATGGTGCGTGTCCCTGGGGTAGGGCAGAGCTGCTACCCAGTAATGGCACTTGTGTGTAAACAGCATTTGCAGCTGTGGCCCACTTTGGGAGCTGGGTAGAGCCACAGGGGCTGCCCTGGCTTGCCTGTGGCCAGGCTGGTGCTGAGAGCATGGTCTTGCTTCCAGCATTGTGCTGAGTTAGACCAGTTGGACCCTGGGGAACTGGGGGAACCAGCATGGCTGGCACCTGGCCTGTCCCTTTCTCCCTGGGTTGTGAGGGGCCAGGCATGGGCTCTGCAGCTTCTCGGGGGCTTCATGTGGCATTTCTGTTGGAGATTGGCCCTCACAGTTAAGGTGGGAATGGGCAGAAGTTGAAGGTGGATGTGAGGAGAGGAACCTGCTGTGGGGCAGTGCAGGACAGTGACATGGGTGTTGTGAAGTGCAGATGTCCTGGCTTCTGGGGGGGTTGATGGTTGTGGTCCTGCATTTTCCAAACTTGGAGGAGCCCTCCTGCCCTTTCCATGCAGTGGGCAGACAGATATGGATGAGCAGTGGAGGGGTGAGGGAGGCAGGGGGAGAGCTGCTCCCTCCAAGCTGCATCACAGCTGGTGGGCACGGAACCAGAGGGCAAGGGGGAGGATCCCCATGGCTGTAGGGTCTGGGAAAGCCCCCCCAAACCGTGTGGGAGCAGGATGGAGGGTCCGTGAGGACGCTGAGGGGCGATGAGGACCCTTTGCCCCTCTGCTCACTCACCATAGCTGCCTCCAGCCGCAGTCCCTGGAGCCCAGGGCAGCATTCAATACTGTAAAAAATTTTATTTTTTGTATATTTTATTGCTGTATCTACAGGCTTTAACTTTCTCCAAAATAAAGGCCCTGAAGCGACGTGCTGTGGGGTGTGAGCGTGGCTCTGCCTGACCCTGCTCCGGGAACTGGGGCCTCCGTCAGCGCGGTTCGGCCGCGGTGCCGCAGCTGTGGTTTGCTGCGTGGGCAGCTGCCCCTTCCCGGGCCCTGCCTGAGCCACACGGGGGGCAAGCGCCGTGTCCCAGCCCGTGGTTGCTTTCTCTGCCCCAGAGACGTGCCTGGGTCTCCTCCGCTCATGTAAAGGAAATGCCGGTGCCAGCGTGGGAGGACACGGCTGCACTGGGGCCCTGCTCTGGCTGCTCTCAGCCCGGGGTGTCTGGGGCTGCACTGGGGCCCCTGCGGGTGCTTCTGCCCTGGGGGTAGGTGGGCTCTGGCTGGAGATGACTGGGCTGGAGCTGAGGCTGGGGGCAGCAGAGGCACCACTGCTGGGTGGGTGTATGAGGCTGGGAGCACTGGCTGGTGGCACCGATGTGCTCTGCCCACAGGGCCCCAGTGGATCCCACCCCAGCACCTGCACCCCTAGCCCTCTGCAATACCACAGAGAACAGGATCATTCCAGCATTTGTGCTCTGGTGAGGCAGAGAGGGAGAGATTATTTCTCTGTCAGAGCAGGATTAGTGGGATTGTTCATGCAGGTCATGTGGAACTGGCTGTACTGGATGGTTTGAGGCGCTGGAGGTGCCCTGGAGCCTTCTCTGCCCTCTGTGTGCCTTGGAGCATCCTGCTCAGGTCTGAGCTGACTGTGTCCCTGCTTTGGAAACCAGCCCCCTTCTAGGACCCCTCCGTTTCACTGTCAAACCAAACCAGGGCTCTGCCCAGACCCCACAGACTCATTCCTGCTCCCAGGATCCCTGTGTTGGATCATTGTCTGCCTCAGCAGTGCAGCCCAGGGTGCTGTGGGTGGGGGGCAGTTCACTGGCAGGGACCCTCTTCTCCTGCCCTGGCAGCTCCTCTGGCAGCTGCAGGATGGAGCTGAGAACCCAGGACTAAGGAATTTTCTAACCCATCTGCAACCCCTGGCATTGCCACACCTCTGTGGTGTCAGGAACAGGGTCTCATTCCATTTTCCTGTGGATCAGGGGTTTCTTATCTCCCTGGACCCACTGCATCCGTGTTGGCACCTGCCCCACTCAGCCAGGGGCCAGCCCTGAATAATGGGGTCAAGGGGCCACTGCTCCCAACCCAGGGTTCCTGCTCTCAATGCTCTGGGTGGCAGCAGGCTGGGAACTTGTGGGTCCTGACGTGCAGCAGGAGAAAGGGCCCTGTGCTGGGCTGCTGAAACCCCTGCAGCAGCAGCAGCAACTGGGGCAAGGGACATTTGCCAACATCCTGTCCCTCTCTCCTTCTGCCCCAGCCAGCCCTGCAGCCCTTGCTTTCTGCCTGTGCTGGGCCATGAGGTTGTTTGTGGCTCTAAAAGGAGGTCACGGGGTGGCTTTGCTCCTTGCCCAGGGCCACAGCACAGTGGGGAGGAGTGGGGACGGTGTCTGAGCCAAGCGTGCAAACGGATTAGGGGTTTCCAAATGCAGATAATCCGCTTGGGATGCGGACACTTGCGTGATGGGTACAGGGCCACCCTGTGGGGATGGGCAGCCACCTGCCAGGGCAGCCCTGGAGCAGGGGCAGTCCAGAGGAGGCACTGATGTAGGGTCCCACTGGTGCCTGGGGTGTCTTAGCTGTTCAAGATTGACAGTTCCTTGGGAATAAAACAGCAGACAGGGAGGGATTAGAGAGGCCACAGTTTATCTGCGACTCCAGCCCCATCCCTGGGGCCAAGCAACTGAATGAGCAGGGCTGCAGTGAGGGGTGGGAGGCAGAGACCCCGGGGATTCAGCTGCCACCTGCCCAAGGACCGGCCTGAGGGTCTCCTCTGCCCTCCCAGGATCTTCCCACAGCAACACATGCTGAGCTGCAGAGCACATGCCACTGCTGCCCAAGCCAAGAGCCATCCCAATCCCTGCTTCCAGTGCTCAGAACACAACAGTCAAATATTGCTTCACACTCAGATTAATACACAGCAGAGCAGAGCCAAGCAGTGGTGGCTTCCACTGCCACATGTGGCAGAGGTCAGACCTGGAGCTGCAGCACAGCGTGATCTCCAAAAACACCACCTCCCAGCCATTCCAGGAGGACACAACCTGCCTGCTTCCCTACAGGTGTCCCATCCTGGCTCAGAATGCAGTGTTTGGCTGTGGTGGCACCACCACCGAGGGCTCCACTCATCCCAACATGGGGTGAAGGGCCCTGGCCCTGCTGCAGCTGCTGGACTGGGCTGACCTGTGGCAGCACGATTGTGGCAGGAGCAGGAGCAGCTGGGACTGAGCGGTTACTGTGGCAACCTGAGCTCTGCAAGGGAGAGCAGGGATGCAGGGAGAGGGCAGAGATGCATGGGGAAGTGCAGAGATGTTGGGATGCACCAGCATGGGGTGGTGGCCAAGCGCAGCCCTCCTGCTGCCCCCAGCCAGCCCCGGCACTGGGGTGGGCATGAGAGGATTGTGTCCTTGGTCCCAGCTGGGCTGCAGAGTCCCTGCCGTGTCCCCTCAGGTGTAGAGATAACCACTGAGCTGATGGGGGGTTCTGGTGCCCTCTGCAGATCCTGCAGGGCTCTCGCTGTCCTGCATGTTTCAGCAGCAGAAACTGGATGTTCTTTCCTAGCTGGAGGAGCTGTGGAGGAAACAAAGAGTCTTTGCCCAAGCAATGGCACTGCTTGGCTGCTGAGGCCAAGCGTTTGCTGGGTTATTCCCGAGTGGCTGGAAGCAGAGGTTTCCTGTGGAAATTCCCCCTTGGACAAAATGTCATTTCCGTTTTTTTCTGGAGCAGATCATCCCCTCCTGCTGGCACTAGGCACCATCAGGCTGAGCCTGTGCCAGCGACAAGCTTCTCTGGTGCCCCCACTTCCCTCTGCCCATGGGCTGGCCGGGTTCTGGCAGGGTCTGTGCTGCTGCCCTGTCCCCTGGGCTGCTGGCCCCTCTCCACAGGCTGCCTCTCGCACCAGCACCAGGGCTGGAACCCCGCAGGGCCCATCCGGACTGGTTCTCCAATGGGACCTTTGTGGGAAAACATGAATCTGTGACTAATGTGGGGATTCATCTGGTTCACATTAGCTGGGCTGGATTATCACAACAGGGCTTTGTGGCCTCAGCACAGACCTGGGAGGGTGAGGGATGCAAAGCAGGGATATGGGATGGGGCTGGGCTGCCCCATGAGACGTCCTGCTGCCCTAAGCAGGAGGGGATGGAGCCCAGGCTGTGCCCTGCCCGCAGGTGATGTGGTTGGGTGTTTGTGTTTCGCCCAGGCTCAGCACCCTGCACATCCCGGGAGCAGCAGGGAGGATTGCAGAGGAGCCTCGCATACAGGATGTGCCCGGAGGGCAGTAGCCAAAAGCGTCAGGACCTCTCCGGAGCCGCCTAAATAAATGTTTCCACTCCTGAGAAATAATTAAGACCCTTGAGATGCCACTTAGAGAGGAAGGCTGTTCCGCCTGCACTCTTTGCGTTCCTTCTCCAAACACAGAGGCAATTTTCTCAGAAATCCATTACGAAGCTCCAGGCTCCCTCTGTCCCCGGAATGCACGGCGTCATTCTGCATCCTGCTGAGCTCATGCGAGGTGACCGTGCGTCCGGCTGTGCCTCAGCCTGGACAATGCCCACCTTCCCAGAGGCTTCCCGGGACTTGCTGAGGACCAAAGAGAGCCAGGGCACAGCTGGGGCCACTTCAGGGCATCGCTGGGGGTGGAGGTGAGGCAGATCCAGGGGCAGCCTCTCTATCGATCTCTGCTGCAGTCACTGTTCCTCTGTTCTTTTCTTCTGGAAAGAAAGAATTTCTCCTGGGTAACATCCCCACCAGCCAGCTCGTAGATTTCCTTGGGACCTGGTGAAAACAAATTGCGATTGGCTTGGATTGGATTACATTGGATTCCATTTGCTCTCTCAGCATGGACCACTCTCCACTTTCTCTCCCATCACTAATCTATTTTTCCTTTTATTCACCCTTCATACCAGAAAGGGGAGGGAGAGAGGAGGGAAGTGAGAAGGACCGGAGGGTGTTTTCTGTACATCTTCCAGCTCTCCCAAGCCCATGTGGCTGTGCAGGTCTCTGGTACAGGTAGTGCTGTGTCCCCCGGGTTCCTCCAGATATCCCTGGATCTGAGGTGCCCAGACAGAGCCCCAGCAGCCACAGACATTGTGTGTGACCTTGATTCTCTGGCCTGAGCAGCCAGTGCCCGCCTGGCTGACTGTGCCAATGGGTTATGTGGGCCAGGGATTGTGAAAGCCGCGTGTCCGCGTGATGCAACTCACCAGAGCAAGAGCGTCCTGGCCAAGCAGGGTGGGCAGGCACCAGGGCCCTGCGCTGCCTTCTCCGCTCCTTTTCTTTCGTCTCATTGAATACAGACAGTGTGGGGGCTGCTGGCTTCACATTGTGTGCCTGTCCCTGCTTCCCAGGGTCCCAGCTCACCTCTCTGTGAGGTCTGGAGTGCCCCAGCAGCACTGGGAATGGCAGCCAGGGCTCTGCTGGCAGCAGCTCAGCACCGATGTGTCAGCCTCTGTGCGTGAGATTCTCCCAAGTGGGTGAGCACAGGCGGCAAAACATTTGTTCGGGTTTGTTCGGGCTGGATTCACTCATTCAGTCATTCACCAGGGCTGCTGCAGGCTCAGAGTGGGGCTGGTGAATTGGAAAGCACTGTTTTGTGGTTGGCGTTTGCATGGAGCAGGTGCTGGGCTGGTGCCTGCCCAGCCCACGGGTATTTATCTCTTGGAAGCGTGGAGCTGGATAAGGCAGTGAGGAGCCCGAGCTGGAGGACTTTAGTACAAGAGCAATAGATAAAAGCAGTAGAGAGGTGGGAACTTGAGGCTGTGCTTTGACACAGCGGCCAAGTGATTTGCAATTGCTGGTGCATCAACTGTCTGAGAGTGATCCTTTTCCAGCACTGGCACAAGGAGAGACAAACCTCTCCTTCCTGGATTCCCACGGGGGAAGGGTCACCTGTGCTTCTACCAGCCCAGAGCAGGAGAGGGACCTGCGTTTGCTGAATTTCCCTCCAGAGTTTTTTCAGGCCACAGAAGATGAGCTGGTAACGAAAGTGAAAGCCCAGGAGATCCCATGCGGCGGGTGCGAGTGCTGGGGCAGAACGAGCACGCCCAGTATTGCTTCCTGCCGCCGCCTCTGCCCATCACCGCACAGCAGCCGCACCCCGGGGTGCCCATCACCCGGGGTACCCCACGGCCCTGGGGCGCCAGTGCTGCCAGGAGGAGCCTGCTGTGAGTGGTAGCTGTGCAAGAGCTCCTCAGGATGGTTTTCTTATGGTTGCTGTTAATTTTCCCTGTTTGAGCAACTGCAGAGGAGCTGGCAGTGCCTTGGGTCTCCTCACAGCTTGCAGGGGACGTGGCAGCTTGGGGAAGGGGATGCAGTGTCCTGTCCCAGCAGGTGCCCGAGGCTGTAGCAGCGCTGGGGATCTTGCTCGTGTACGTGGCTGCCAAGTGTCAGCCCAGGCCTGTGGTGGGAACGAGCACCGTGCAGCCACGGCTGCTTCACGCAGAGGGCCTGGCATCAGCACAAGGCAGCTCTGTGGCCACCTGGTACAGATTTGGTCATTCCTGTTCCCAGAACCAAGGCTTGGTGCTACTTTGGGCTTTCCCGGTACTTACTGCCAAATTCTGGTGCTGGTTTGTGTCCTGCCAGAGCTGCTGAAACTGTGTTGAAGGTGTTGAAGGCTGAAGCTGTTTTGGATTCTGCCCATACCTGGTGCTAGTGCCACTACTCACTTATGACACCCTGTGCCATTACTCGTGCTGCTGCTGGCACTGGTGCCGTTAACCTGCGCTGGTGCCCGGTACCATCACCCAGTGCCACTGCCTGCTGCCATTATCCCGTGCCTTGTTCCAGTACCATTACCCGGTGCTGTCACTCCATGCCATTACCCGGTGCCGTTGCTGCCCGGTGAGTGGCACCGCTCCCGTTAGCCGGTGCCGTTGCTGCCCGGTGAGTGGCACCGCTCCCGTTAGCCGGTGCCGTTGCTGCCCGGTGAGTGGCACCGCTCCCGTTAGCCGGTGCTGCTGCCCGGTGAGTGGCACCGCTCCCGTTAGCCGGTGCCGTTGCTGCCCGG